CAGCAACAGCGTCAGCAACTCTGTTCCCCCGATTTGTCCGGCTACCCTACCTCCACCCCCGCCTTCCAACGTGTTCAGGTTTGCGCGCGTATCGCGAACTGCCGGCTCGTCACGCACATGCTGCAGCGACCTTTTGCATCAAAAGCTTTGTTTATGGGCCGAGGAGATTTATAGGCTGTGCAACGATGCGGCCGGTATACGTCGTGCCTCGCGTTAGATCTCTCGAAATACGACTGGGGGACTCAGTTCCCGTCGTCGAATCGCGACAGGTACGAACTTCGAAAGGTGGAAAAACCAAGTTCGAGAATGGTCGACGTTCGATGGTGAACAAAAATTTTCACCCGAGTTATGCAATTTCTAATTCCTACGAACTCGTCTGTCGCATTCGAAGTGGCAATTTGCATGATAAAAATTGAATTCAGTGGGTCAGTGTTTTGGATTTGGCAAATTTTTGCTGACGGATTTCGAAAAGTCAGTGAGCGTAGTTAGTTAACTCGGGAGTGTGCAGGGAATCGGAATTAATACGAAGAATTCGCGAAGTTAGTTTCGCTCTGGATATGAAGTTTAAAACGGCTCCGAGATCTTCGGAAGCTGTTTGCATTCGGGATAATTGATGAACACCGGGGCAGATCGCGATCATGAATAATGACAAAGTTTTCCATCGTTTTAATTGATCGTCGGATCGCGTGAAATTCAACGCGGCATCCGGGCACGTCACTCGAGGCGAACGAATCGTCTGGCGGCTGCCGGATCGCGATAAATAAAATCGCGAGAGAGGCAAGAAGCTGGCGAACCGATCGAGGAAACACTTTCAAAGGAAACGCGCAACCGAGATTTACGGGGATGATAGAGTGGCTCGTTTTTATCACCGCGAGACCAACAAAACGGTCGATATCCGCTTGAGTGGTCGATTCGCGTCTGACTACCTCTGCGGATTCTATCCTCTGATTCACGTTCTGACTTTCTGTTGTTTCAATATCAAATTGGTGTCGAACCAGAGTCAGTATCCGAATTTTAATTGTAAATCTATTACTGCAAGCTATACAATTCTTTATTTTATAATTTCACCTTCTGATTCATTCGAGGTTTGATGCCAGGCGACACCGAATCATTTTCTATGCCTATCGAACTTGAGTTAATATTCCACATTGCAATATCTTTATTTCATGATTCCACATCTGATAATTATAAATTAATCCCTACCTCTAAACGTGATTTCCTTATAAATTATTTGATGGATTTATAGACGAATTGAATGTGCAAACGATGTAAGGACACGTAATACGTAGAAATGACTGCAGTATCAAAGAGATACTAGAGATCATTGTCGGACGGTATAAGAAATCTCGAAGTACACTTGGTTTTTAAAACTGCTTTTATTTCGCGTAAAGTCTTAGAGTAAAAATCGGCGAGGATCGACAGAATGGTTATTTCTGAGTGAAACTCGATTAAAAGGCGAATCAGTCGGAACGTATCGAAGCTCGTTCAGCAACAAATTTATCGGATCGTGGAATCATTAGAGCCCGGGAGCGGAGTAAAACGGGACTGGAAGCACGATCCGCGGACAAAGTGTTAACGACTGGCTCTGTTTCCCCGGCAATTACGCATTAGATCTTACTCTGTGCCGGCCGGTTGCCGAGACCTGGCCGGCTCGCGATCATTACCCGCATTAAATTCCTGATCGGATCGGGATACGCTGATTGGCTGCCGCAGTGGTGAACGCCGGCTGGGATCCGGTCGCCTGGAAACTCCTTATTTAGCAGGCCGTATTATACAAGAAAATACGGAATATCTGCCGCGAACTATCTCTCTCTCCCGTTCCTAATAAAACGAAAACGCTCCGCTCTGCTGCCTCTCAAAGCCGTCTCACCTCATAGTTTTTCATCCTTCAGAAAATGGTAAATCATTCGCGACGGTATTAGACGATTTCAATTAATTTCATGAAACTCGAAGATACTTTAAACCGATCGATGCGTTGAAATGTTACTTCGGAATTAATCGTGTCAGTCAGACGCTTCCAGTAGCTTCGGTTTACTATTGCCAAACGTCATGGAAATCCGTTGATGATTTTTGGTAAAGACTGACGACCGACCGCTCGCTACTTATAACGATGCACACGACGAATTAAAACGTCCGATCCGTTGACGCACAGAATTCTGTACCTGTTCAGAACTTGTCAGAGGATCATCGAGATCCTAGCGCGGTGGTATAAAAAAAAAAAGAACGAGAAGCGCGGCGAAAGAAAAGACAGGAAGCAGTGTTTCTCCGTCCTGTTCGTGCGGTGGTCGCTGGTTAAATGCCGCGGTAGTATCCGTCTTCGTCTCGCGGATCCCCCACCCTGGGTTCCCGCGATTCCGCTCGTTTCAAAGCACCCGGGAACCCCCCACTATCTGGCAAAAAACAGATTTGGAGGGGGATTTCCGGTTCTCTACAGGCGGAGCTGACGGAAACCACGCCCGGCTCCGTTGCCCATTTACCAGCCAGCCGCGCTCGTCAAATGTTTTTCGTCGCGGATTATGACGCGGTCTGCGCGATTACCACCGTCCCCATATCTCTCTCTCTCTCTCTCTCTCTCGTCTCTCCTCTCCGGAGGGATTCTCTTCCTCCCGTGCACACGCTCTTTGTCCCCTTATCCCTGTTCCTTCCTTTTTTCCCCTCCCGTCCCTCCTTCCCTCCCTGTCCTTAAGCGCTTTCCTCCCGAGGCTGCTGGATCCATCCCGAACTCCAGGACGACGCTTGCAAGTTTGCTCTTGCTCCAGCCCGTCGGACCTGCTCTCGTCTCGTTCCTATCAGCGATCCTGTGTGCTCAGGCCAAATGATTAGTTCGCTCGGGACCATTCAGAGCTTTGCCTCACTGCGCCCTCCGTTGAATACAAAAACGAGGCAAAAAGAAACATCACAATTGATTTGTAACGAAATATGCAAGTTCGATTAAACAGGGTGTTCTCGTTTTAATAATACCGCGGACGACGTAGACGTAGAAATGCACTGTAGCGATCGAGTGAATTTCGGGGTGGTCCGTTCTCGGTTTATTGATTGATGACTCATTAATGCCTGGTCGGAGCTGCTTAAGCATTCGACTCAGGGTCACCGCGTGGTTATGGTTCGATGTCTGTGAATCGGTTGCGAACAAAGGCAGCTGGCAAGTGTTCGAGCATCGATACCTTCGAGACTGACGCTTCTAACGAGCCAAGCCACGTTCACGTCTGAAAAAGTGTAATAAAGTACACAAAGTTACAATTCATAAAATTCTGTAGTAACTTCGTCTTAGTTAAACGTATCTCGGATATTTCATATGTACGTAGAAAGTAAGAGTGTACAAGATTGTACGCATGTGTTTATGGATATTATCATACACATGTATGGAACGTTGGTGTAAACGTGAACGAGGCTTAATGCAGCGGGTGCAGCTTGTTGCACCGAACTTTTGAAGCCGTCTTAAAACCGTCGAAACCGATGTTAAGCAGTATCGATCGAGACCGGCGTCGCGTCGGGAGCCTTTGTATCGCGCGTAACTCGCGCTTCTTTGCCCCGGAAAGAAGGATGAACTTCTTTCGCGTTACTTTTCCTTTCGGGATCACTTTCCAACCCTCTTGCGATCTCGCAAGAAACCAATTATCCCGAGTGAAACTTTTCCTATGGCCATTTCACCGCGACTACTTCTTCCGGCGAACGGTATATGTATATTAGAATAAAAATCGTTCTTAGTGAAAGGATAGACTCTGTTCAGTCAGGCTCTGACATCGTAACGACAGTTGTAGATTTAATCCCAAAATGTAAATTGGTTGGAAATAATTAAACGTATGGTCAGTCGTCTCAATTTCAAAATTCAAATTACTTTAAATTGTATAATTGTACGTGGGGTCGTATTACGTTAATTTTGTGTCGAGGAATTCTAGTTCTTATTCTTGAAAATAGCACGATTTCAAGAAAATGTCGAGTGAACTGAATTGTAATGCGAATAATACGCTTTTGTGAGGATAAACGGTGGCGAGACTCGAAACGCGAGAGCTAGTCGAATCGATCGCGGTTCCTGGACTCTATTTACACTAGCCGCGCGATTCACAATGCGCGTCAACGGGTTTCAATGCGGCTGCGACCAGATTCGAGCTTGAATCAATCCTAGACAATGCGCGGTCAATCGTTGCGCTGTCTTATTTAACGCCAGATTCCATTTTCGAATACGAAATCGATAGCCCACTCGAGTTCTGAGTACTCGATCGTTTGTTTTCGTCTACTTATCCATTAATCGATTGCGTTAGCATCTAGTAATACTTGTTGAATGCCGTTTTCAACGAATTACTGTTCATTTATTCGAAATGAAGATTTCACCCAATTGTTTGTAACCAGGAGTCAGTGCGAATTGTTTTAAGAAAATATCGAGTCCGATCCAAGAAGGCGTTCCTTCTATACTTCTTTTATTTTCTAAGCCTGGTTGGGAATACATGGATAATCAGTTTGTTGTACTGTGATAAAATGTTGATGCGAGTTTCTCTGTCACTAGGAGGAGTGGAAACGCGATCACTACTGGCACAGCTGTTCTCAAAATAAACGAGCGGAGCCCGTGACAAATAGAACCGAGTTTTCCGCGGTGGCGATTTTCCGTAGCGGTGGCTATCGCGCGCAGAGCGTTTCTGGAAATCACGGTGGAAAATCTCTCTCGCGGATTTGGCAACACTGTGACGCTTTGGGCGTCTCGCTAACACTCGACAGCGCGAACGACGAGGGGTGCCGAGCAGGAGGGAGAGAGACGGCGTGATGCTCTTCGAGGAAGTGGGGGCGGAACCCGTGTATCGGGTAGGAAAGGGTGCGAGGTCGACGTGGAACCCGTTCGTGTGGGAGCGTCACGTGACCTCACGGTAGAGGGGTGCGATGGGTGACGGTGGGGACCGATGGGTGGAGCCAACATTTTCTCCTCCGTCGACGATTATCCCAGGGCGCAGGTCGAAAGGATCCTTTTGGGAGGGTGCGAGGGGTGAACGGCACGGGGTGATGCGAGTGACGCTGGCTAGCGCGAATTTTGGCACAGCTCGCGAAAATTTCTCACTCGGGTTTTCGCGGAAAACTCGGACGGCTCTCGACACGGCCAATCGGCTTGAATTATGACTGATGAAGTGCCGGCTCCCGGATAAATGGAGAAAACCATCTGGCCAGGCATTAGCGGTACGGCTTTAGAATTCGTTTTCATCTAAAATTGGAGACGTTGGATTAATAGCCTGAGTCCAAGCTTAGCGAGCATTTGTTGTTCGCGCTTCGCATAAAACCTGACGGACATGAACGTATGTAGGAGTATTTTTAATATCGCCTTGCAAACGAACGATCAGAATTATTTAAATAAACATTTAATCTTCTCGTTGCAGAATGAACCGAACTTTGAATCGTGATCCACTGACCCAGAGAGGTCCACCAAACACGGGTGAAAAAAACTGACCACTCCACCCTGATCAAACACCTCTCCGCCGGGAAAGCTACATAGTTTATCGCTGGTCCCGTGAAAATCCAGCAACGTGTCAATCGGCATCGTTCTCTCGAGCGAAGCTTCGGGCAACGTCGATCTCCCCCACCCCCTGCACACTCACACTCCCTCGCCTCCCTCTCCTGTGAAGGGTGGTGTTAATGGGCGTACTCGCGGTTAACACCCTTATACCCCGATCTGGTGGGGTGCGCGGGCGAACAGAGACGGAGAGAATCAGAGGAAGAACGAGCAGAACGACGTCGCACCCGCGGAGGGGATGACGAGGACGGAGTATCGAGATTGTTAATAGAAGAGAGACGGGGAACGTCGGAAAAGGCGTCGAGAGCAACGCCGCTCGGATTGGCGCCGGAACGCCAATCCGAACTACGAGCGCTCATTATCGCCCGTCTGTTTCTGTGGTGGGGTGCCCTTGGACGAGTCTCCTCTTCTTCGTCGAGCCTGAGTCTCGGGTATTCCTCTTCTTCTCTGGCGAACGGCTGCACCGTCCGCCGGGTTGCCACGGCAGGTTCTCCCACTACGTCCACCGCCGTCGAACGAAGCTCGGGGAAGGGAGGAGGAGCCCCTGCACCGTCTCAGTCTTCGCGTCGCTGCCCTCCAGCATTCACGCCTCCCGCGTCCGGCGCAGGCACACTCCGCGCTAGCACTACGGTGCCTACGTACACTCACACGCGCCCACGCTCGTACACGTACGCGCACACGCGACCGCGTCCGCCCCCCGTGTCTCCACACGCACAGACGACGCGGTTGTACACACGCCCTGAATCCGGACGAGGACTTTAGCACACCAACACCTCCGCGGGAGGTGTGGGGGTGAGCCCCCAGAGGAGGTGTCAATCCTAGCGCTGCTCAGTGACCATCGCGGCGCCACCCAAGTAACACCTTTCGTCCGCTCTCCAGCCCAGAGCCACAACCGCACACACCGAGAGTCTAGTTTTGTCCACGGGGAGCCCTCTCTCTCGTTGCTGCTACTACTGCTACTGCCGCTGCTGCTGCTGCTGCATTCGCTTTTTTTCCTCGCGACCGTTCCGCGTGCGGATAGACGCGCACGAACTGTTCGACGCCCTTGTCGTCCGGCCGTCGGACGCTTGCTCCGTACCGTTTCAGGGCGCGCAACCCTTCCGCGATCGCGCCGCGTCGTGAACGACCCCGTGGTAGACACAGTGAGTCAGTGCAAACAGTGAAGCAAACAGAGGATTTAGTGCTCGAGTACATGGTGTGACTCTTGCCCAAGCGCCACCGAGATCAACCGCCGGATTCAAAGTGTTGAAACTCGTGCTTCTATTAAGGTGCTGTTCGCCTGGAATTTGTACATCGAGTGACGCCGGAAGAAGAGAGGCTGAGAGACCTCAGTAAGGTCGGAGGAAGGACGTACGATGCCTCTGACGACGGATCTTGAGGGGAGATCGCAGCGGGAGCGACGAGAACGAACCGCTAATCGCTTGCGATCCTGAATCGTTTCGGACTTTGGTCAAACGGCGAGACGATTTTGGGGAGCATGCCCGAGATTCGGCCGGGAAGGACGGTCGACCACGCGGCTGCGAGGATCATCGTGATCATTGGTCAGTGAACGTGCAGCCAACGAAAACGAGATCAGTGAAAATACGATAATAATAATAATACAATATCGAGGATAGTGAATTGTGATTTGTGCTTGGTGAAATCAGTTCTGCGAGGAGGTGAAGCAGGCGAGTGACTTGAAGAGGAAGGAAGGATAGAATAGAACCGTCTCTCGCTTTGAGTCACTCGAAGAGGAATCTCGCGCGACTCGGCCTACCCGCCCGTCTCGATGAGATTCGAACAAGACACAGCGTGCAGGGGTACCCACTGCGCCAGCACTCCGCAACCCTCCGCGCTGCAGCAGCGTACAAGGCCCGAGGAGGTGGTGGAGGAGGAGGTGGACTCCGACTCCGCGAAGGACATCGACGGCCAACGGCGCAAACGAAGAGAATTGGAGACTAACGTGGTCGAGGGTGCAAACACGGGGCCGAGGGCCGAGGCGGGGGGGCCTGGGATGGCGTACCCCGCGTCAGCGACGGCTCTGAATCAACACTCGGCCTTCGCCACCTCGATCGCTGGCACGCCGTCCAGCAACCCGAACGGACACATATCCGGCGGCCACCTGCCGGCCCCGGCCGCCCCGAGACCGACGGACTTCAGCGTATCCTCGCTGCTGACCGCCGCGACCACCCATCCGCCGATTTTGGGCGGCTCGTCGTCCCAGGGTAGCGCCTCGCCACCGCCCGGTGGCCCCGGAAGCCCGGCCGCCGCGCCGGAAACCCCGCCACCGCTGCCCAGCCAAAGGGAATTGTCGCATCCGTCCTCGGCGGTTGCGGCCGCAAGTTACTTCAGCGCTGCCGCGTTGGCAGCTGCCGGTTTCTACAATCCGGCGGCTCATCTGCCGGCTACCAGCTCGCCCGGACCGACGGCGCATCATCTTCAGGGAAAGGGGATCCTCACCGGCGGTCATCATCATCCGCATCTCAATCCCCACGGCATCACGCCGCCAGGTGAGCCAAACTTACTCAAAGTGTCGTGACGATCTCTTTTTACGAGCTCGTGAATCGGTGGAAATTGTGTTCCGAGTGCGGGGACGGGTAATTGCAGGGTCCGCGTTCAAGTGTAATTGGCCAGGGTTTTCGGCCGATCGGGAGATCGCTCCTCTCTCCAGGGGAACGATGTTTGGCAAGGTTCTCACTCCGTCGACATAGTATTTTACAAATTGTCCGCGGAACATCTCGCAAAACGAGAATAGCGATGAGCAATCTTTGATAGAATCTGAGAAATGTTAGAACAAACAAGATCCCTTTGTCTCCGTTCAGTTTCTACTCAGGAATCTTCGAACTAGTCCCGTGAAACAGGTTGCTTTGATAAGCGAATCGTACAGTCTGATAAACATCTCGTTCCTTCGCAAAAAGGATGAACCAGGTGTCGAGACGGATAGAGCTCGTTCCCGTGAACCGGTAAAACCTAAATTGAGACGTAAGACCGAAGCTAAGAACGTTTAATTCAATGCTCAGCTGGTAGAACGAGATCCTTGCAATTCGCGAACGCTAGGACAGTTTCAAATCCGCTCCCGGCTACATTTGGCCGTTCAATTCGCAAAACAAGTTGTTCGAACCTGGATCTGACACGGAACATACGTTCAATTTCCGTTCATCTCTCGATTTATCTTGTGAATTCATTAAGAATTTGAAGGTACAGTTAAAAAACATAGATAATTTCGTTGGAAGACATTGTTTCATACGTGCTCCACGTTTTTTCAAACGTAACGTAAACAATCCTCGAGCAAATATTAAACTGCATACATAGATCCCTGAAAAGTGGAAAAATTGAGTTGGATTTAATTACTCCTGGCTCTGTTTTACGAACGACAGTCGAACTTGTTGCGCGCCGGAATTCATTCACTTTCTCCCGATTTTCTGTGCAACAAAAATCGTGTAAAATTCCCTTCGGATTCAACGATCGAATAAAGGATCAGACTCTTGCCACGGATCCTTTCCATTGCTTATTCACCCGCATTTATTCTTCGCGGCGACGTTTCACGTTCGATCGGTTTGTTAACCGTGTTCTCGCCCGGACGGCTGTCACTTTTACTGGACGACGTTGTTAGCTAGGCGTACAAGGAATTTCGCTAGAGGGGAGATTTATTCCGCGTAACCCGTTCGCAATATTCCGACGAAGTAGTTGGAAAATTCTACAAATTTTCGGAGTTCTGCAAAAAAAAAGTCTGAACCGTGGACCGGAAGGGTGGCTGGTTTCCGCGCCTTACGCAACGCGTCCGACGGGAAAACTGTGGAAAAGCGGCGCCTTTGTTCGGGAACACCCGGCTGGACGTTGTCCGACGTGATAAAACGCGGTTAATTAACGCGCCGTAATTATTCCCGCTTTCGGAGCCTCGAGATCGTGAAATGCAGTTGAAACCAAGCCGCTGTTTCGACAGTATTTTATCCAACCATTCATTAATCCGGTCCGGATTTTATACAGATAGTTTTCAGACAAATAGGAGATCTAGGACTTGTAAAATGAAATGGAGATCTTCTGAATTATAGTTCATTTAGGAACTCGAGGAATTTTCGTACTAAAAATTTATTCATAATAGAATTTCTCAATTTTTCTTATTATTTAATTCGTTAATAACGTTGACTGATTATTCACGCATTTCGGCCATGTCATCAAACGAATTGTCGTTGTCAGGAAAAAAATATCACACTCAGTTCAATAAAAAATCATTCAATATTGCATCCCCCCGGCACCGACACCAAATTCATTAAAATGTTCTGTGAATTTTTGAAAGAATTAACTCTCGGACGTCACGAGTCTTGGACCCTTAGCATAAATCGTTGCGATCTAATAGATCATCGCGAAAAATGATCACTGCCACTGGCCGAGATCCATTAACGGGCGCAGCAATAGATAAAAAAGCTGTCAACCGCGAGGAATTAAGCATCGCTATCTCCATAAATCTTGGCGGAGAAACTGTGAATTAATCCGGCGTTGATAACCATCGCGGGTCACAGCGTTCTGGTTCAACGGAATGATTAACAGCTCTCCCGCTCGTTTCAGAACTTGGAAACCGTCCTAAGAACTCTACGATAAAACCCGCGAACCGTATTCGCTTGATCGGACATTGAAATCGCTTAAAAAATGCTCACACAAATAATAACGTCGACTCTTCATGGTTTTTGAAGTTCAGTATTGGAAGAGAGCTCACGTGCGTTAAGTATAGATGAAATAACGAGGGAACCACGATGCTCCGAGTGTTCAATTGTTTTTATTTGCCAGAAATTCTCACAATTAGAGAAATTCGCGTGACTCTAACATATTTCACAAACTGAGAACGTCATAGACATTTTAATCTCGTAGATAATAGTAAAAAACAACAACGATGCTAATGTTTAATGAAAAATGCATTGATAAATGGCGGTAATTAGACAGACAAACGCATACGAAAGGCGGTGTAATTATTCTAATCGCCATAGGAACTTGTTGCAAAAGCCAATTTCTTCTATTACGCAATCAACCCGACTGGTGACAATAGTTGGAAAAAGTAATTATTCCTAATTACACGTAAATAATCTACTTAGAAAAAGTAATATACTCATTGTTTAACGATTCCTATTTCGGTACGTTTGTTCCGACACGTGTCTTAACCAAAAGCAAAATAGTTCCTTACAATATTCACATTTTTAATTCACAATGCGAGAAATGAATTAACGACAGTTTAAATAGAGATTGCAAACGTTCGCGTGAATGAAGTGACTCGAGTTGAGACTGTCACGGCGTTACCGTGAGGAAACGAGAACGATTTTCAGTTTGTCTTATCCGACATCTCATTATTGCCCGCGTCCACCTCATCCGTTTCGACCAGTTACCTCCTTCGTTAACTTCAACAATGAATTAATTCGCCACTCACGTTGACACGCGTCGTCTTATGGTGGCTGTCGAAACGGGAAGTCGGACATCTGCGCTCCAATTCCGGAGAATCACGCGTCTATTGCAAGTTTCAAACCAGTTTCACACGATTTACAATTTTTTTTTTAAGTAAATTGAGTCAGTTCGAAATTCAAATTGGAGTATTAAGTCAAATTGAGGATGGATTTTGTCGTTTGAAAATATCGGAAGGTTTAGACACGAGAAACTGCGACGATCATTGCAATTCTTTTGAAGTAACTGGAGTTAATCGATTTGAAAATTGAAATTGTTACGAGGTCTGGTTTTAATTAACATGGGAACACGACAGTGGAACGCGAAGTTGAATTGAACGTGGGTATAAAATCGTCGGGAGGCTTTGGCGGAAGAAAATGCGACCATCGCAGTGGAAGGGGATCGATTTTGGCAGGCTTTGAGCCAAGCGAATTTTCGTACCGTTTCCCTCTGCTTTTAAATTGCAGCAGCCGGAGTTTGCATTCCCCGGCGCAGGCCGAGTGTCTCGGCGACGTGCGAAGAATATCCCGTCGACGAGTTGCTCGTTCGAAGCCGATACAGCTCCCAAAGCGCGAGACTATTGATCGTCGTCATTCGCGTTAGAAAATGGAAATGTGTTCGCGCTTGAACCAAGAATCGATTGAAATCAAACTGTGACTATCGGTTTAGAAAAATATGTTCCCGTGTCGTTCATCTCGGTAGACAGCTATAACGCAATTTAGAAAGCGTTTTAGCGTTGAGAGATCTTTGTCGCGAGCTACTCCCATTAGAAAGTGCAAATAAATGTGACCAGGGATCAATTAAAATCGAGGTCGATTCATTCTTCTTCCGAAAAACGAATTTCCCTGTTGTTCATCTTAGAGGACAGGTTCGATGCAACTTAGAAAGGCGCTTTATCGTTCTAAAATCATACAGTGACTCTTCTCTTTCTCGTCAGCCAAAACATATTCGTCATTGTTTGGCCATCTTTCCCATCATTTCTTCTTTTCTATCCGGGCTGGCAGCCAACTGACCACGAGCCCGCACGACATTCATCTGACCAAGGCCACGACCGGTGTTCGGATTCGCGCCGCGTTTTTCTCCCGGTAACCTCAGAGAAAACGGCCGAGAAAAGCGGGAAAGCTAGACTAGATATTTGAGATTGACGTTTAACGACTCGTTGCTCTACATCGAGGCTTCATAACCCATCAGCGTCACAGAATAAAATACCAAATATACCGTGAAATTATGAATGCATAAAAATAATTGTTTGAAACGAAACTTCTTTGATTTATTATCAATTAATGTTTTACTTGTACATTTATTTTAATTATTTATACGTTTACCAAGGATTCCCTGAAATTTTCTCGACCGTAAATAGGTCTCGTTTCTAAGACCGGGCCTATTGGATAATTAAATTCGAATTTGAATGTAGGCGCCATAGTGGGGTTGCAACGATCGGAGTGACATCTGCGTAGATTTCGTAATTAGACGCGAGCGTGCAAAGCGGCGGGGTGCAGTCAGGTTAGTGGCGTTGCTCGTGAAGCTTTACCGGGAACTGTGAATCTGTTTCTCTTTGTTTAACCTAAGTGAATTCGTTGAAAAGTGAACAGGACCGGGCATGCATGGGTTGCTGTTCGGAAACCACAGGTAATTAGATTCACCTTATTAGAAAAGCTTTCTTTACGTACTTCGCTTCGATTCGCTCCGTATCGATTGAATCTTGAATCGCTTCAAAGGTTCCTTTTAGTTACATACAGTTTAGATTTATTTCATGCGTCTCTTGTCGTTCCAGGTTTTCTTTTCGAGAAAATCGACTTCTTCCGAGTACGCATGCACTCGACTATGTCGTCGTTAAAGGAGTTTCGATGCGATAAGCCGTAGGTTTCCGAGTAACGATAATGCATGTAATTCTTAAGATGCACTCTGTCAATGCAAAAATTGTTGAAAGTGCCACCGTACTGTATACACGGCTCTGCTTTCCGAGTAAAATTTTTGCGCGTGTTTTCTTACGTCGAAAATAAAACGTAATAATCAGGCGCCATTATTGACAACAAACCGTGACATTGTGTTAAGCATACGTAACGTCGTGTTAAAATACATTTCTACAAAAAATGGGCGAAGTAAACAATGGTTTGCATCGAGATTATTTTAATCATGACATGATCGAGTGCATGCGTAATTGAAGAAAATGCAAAGTCTCGAATGAAAAAAATTTATTCCATATGTATGTATATTTAATTTATCTTGTCATGTACGATCACTCCCTCTACTGTTATACAATCAGTGGACAGGCTATGTATTAATGAATTAGGAAATATTTTATTTAGAGTGCGAGGGAATTTCTGTCAGGTATCACGTGTCAAAAGATTATATGTTAATTACGATATCATTTAGCAAGACTATCATTTTCCTGTATTAATTACACCAACACCTGTAGACCTCAAGCAAAAGTTAACATCGTATGTATTTTAAATTCTTCACGTGGTGCGCAGCGATTAACTTATATTAGCTCGTGATTATACATATTTATATTTTTTGATACGTTGAAATATTTGCTTTGGAGAAATGAACTAGCGATAGAAAACGAATTAATGGCTCGCGGGTATCGGCAGTGAAATTTTTCGTATCGGCTTAAAGGTCGCTCGATTTTCCATATATTACGCGATTCACTCGGGAAATCGTTCCGGCCTTCGTTGTGATCGACGTTCGCTCGCCTTTCTATCACGATAATTGCACGCTCGCGGGACTTAATTGTCCCGCGGCAAGATACGCTATTCCGGGACTATGAAATTATATCCATTCGAAGAAATTATCGCGGACCGAATAAATTATTATCGGGCCTATGTTTGAGCCGCGAGCACCTGCCGCGTTGAAATTCGTGGTTCGGGCAGGCAACGCGGAAATCGAAACGGGGACGAATTATCGTGTAAAATATATAAAACACGGCCGGGTAATAATTATCAGCGATGAACCCCCGGTCGAGTAATTGCGTCGCAACGGGTTTTCGGGAGGAGCCATAGCGTTTTGAAAAATCGTTCAAAATACGTGGCCACCGGTGGTCGACCGCGATGACCAAACAACAATACCAATTTAATTGCGCCCGCGCGCGTTTCGTTTATACTGCAATAATATTATGAAATTATTAATAACTGCGTCTCGCGTATGGGAAAATCAACGCGGTGATGCAATTGTCGCGTTACAAACTTGATGGAACACATGGGATAAATAAGCAAATATTGTGCAACCGTTACCGGACAACGACGTTTCTTCCAAATATCTTGTTACGTTAATCTGTTCTGCTAATTTGTATCACATAACGGCACGAGATAAACGGTACGCGAGGCGTAAAAATTCGTATCGCACGATCTCTGGTGCGCGATTTCAATTTCTAAATGAAAAAGATCAAGGCGAATAGTAGGTGAAACAGATTTAATGATCGAGTCGCGCGGACTTTGTATGATAACAATCATGAAGTCATTAACGTGGTGGCAACAGGTTCTCGCATTTTTTCCCCAGGCTTCGCGCATATGCCGTAAGTGATTGGAATAGAGAGAAAATACCGGGAGCTGTGTCCGTGCCGTTAACTATTAACCGCGTCATTAATCATAAATAATATAATCGTGATTTACATCGTCGTGAATAGTAATTCGCCGGCTGCCACTTAGCACTCGCAGGTAAAAAGGCTCGTGTTGAGTCGTCGAATAAATTGCGATAAATCGAGCTAATCTCATTTTCCGATAAGGGTAGACATTGGTCAAGCTTGGAAAAACTGCCGCCAGGGATATGGGTAATTATTTTTCTAGTCATTAAACCGCCCGCCGAACCGTTTAATCGGACCGAAAGATTCTGTCCAAAAAGATCATTGCAGAACCTTTTTTTGGCGAACGCCCTTGTTAACTTCACCGCAATAAAATAGAAATAATACCCTGGCCTCCCTTTTTCGGGGATGGGACTAGTTTTATGACCGAACAAAGTAACGAAATTTTGTAACCAAAAGTGGCCTTTTTTCATCCCATGCAACAGGTTGTCCACGATTGGTTGGGATTAGAAACATTTTATGAAACGAAGGATAGGCTGTTATAAATAATGAAATTGACTTTTGAAAAACGGGCATGTTTTATAACTCGCAAAAAATAACTTTACAGTTATTTCCTCGCAATCGTCTTATTTCGTTCGGAGTATAAAAAATTACCAGAGAATAATGTTTCTTTTATAATTAAACTAATTCAAACAAGCAGACAACAAACATGACAATCGGTAGATAATCGTCGACATGATTCGAAATCGAGGTTCGAGGATAAACGAGATCAAGGGATAAAGAGTAAAAGACAGCAGTTTAAAGTCGGGCAAGGGTGAATCGATCCCCAGCTCTCTCCGTGAAACTTTCGGTTACTGTTTCCACCCCCTCCTGGCCCTTTGATACGGGGTGGCCGAAGTTCGAAACCGAATTAGAAAGATCTTTGCCCTGGAATTGAAAATCGCGAGGCCGTCTCGCGAACGTTTTCCTACCGTTGTTAGCAGAGGCCTTAAAAATAGAGCTGACGCCGTTCGAGGGTCAATAGAGCCAATCTCTGCTCCGACCAATTGTCTTACTGCTCGCTCGATTCGATACAATCGATCGTCCTCGAGGTTCTCTCAATTTCTTAGGAAACTTATTTTTTTTTCACATTCCCTTTAATTGAAATTTCAACGGGCAATCGTCAATTGAGAACGATTCTTCGTATACGGATCGCGTTCGCTTTAACAGAAATTTTCATGAATAATTGTTAATTGGAAAACGGTATCATGTTCATTGATGATTAAAATAAAGCGATTATGCGAGCGTCGATGGCAGGATGATTTTTCCGCGTTAATCCGTATTTTTGACGCGGGCGAAATGCGATACTTGTTATTTTTGCGGCGGACGTATTAATTAAGTCGGGATTGAACGTGAATAATATTTTAATTAAACGGTCGGAGGAAATTGTAAACGAGCATTGTCAAAGTGTATTATTCGATACGGGTAGGATAAAGTTTATATCGTCCCGCATTATTTAACTGTTGCCGCATTAAAATAAATAACTTTCGGACCCGCGACTGGCTGTAATTTTAATCCACCACTTTCACCCTCAGTTCATTACCGGCCAATTATCGGAATATCCACACAATTATTCCTAGCAAATATGATCAAGTGTTCTGCCTTCGAATTTATAAGTTTCATTAAAAATTCGAGGACAAGTTCATCGAGTTAGACATTTAATGAAATTCAGCAGCAACGCTTAGACTAATCAACAACGAATTTATACATTTTAATCGACCCAGCTATTTGTGTTTCAACCAATTATACTAGTTGCATCGAATATTTTCGTGTTGCCAATTGTACCGAAAATCAGAGTGAAATTTCAAGTATGATTAATGCGAAGGAATTTGTGGTTTAGGTTTAGGCCTAGGCCCTCACACGCCAGAGGAAGCAGCAGTCCTGGCGGCCGCGGCGGCAGCGTTGCACCACCACCATCAAGGTGGTCCCGGTGGGCCAGCGATGAGGCCGTTGAGGCCACCGCTGCCCCCGGGGATGTTGCACAGCTCACCTCACCCGCTGGCACCGCACCATCCCTTGGCTGGGCCACACCACCCACTCGTTCCTCCTCATCACCCCGAAGAGGACGGTGTCGTGGACGATCCCAAGGTGACTCTCGAGGGTAAGGAGCTCTGGGAGAAGTTCCACAAACTCGGCACCGAGATGGTCATCACCAAGAGCGGCCGGTAAGTCTCAATTTCGTTTCCCGACGAGTAGATCTCGGTTTCGTGTAAAAAATTGATTGTGCCAATTTAAAAAATGTAGAATTCTTTTGTTTTTCAAACGTAGTGATAGATATCCATTTTATTTTTTATGCTTACGTACGCACATTTGTATGCTTGCTTGGACCGTTGACGTCATCGAATCTATAGTATCGACGAGTCGAGATTCAGAATGAATTTACGTCGTATTGTATTATAAATTTTGGAAAATAACGATGTAAGACAAGAGCCGTGAGATAAATGCGCGGCGCGAGCGAAACACGAGAAGTGAGCGCGAGAAACCGCAGAAAATCGCGTGGAGAACTCGTTCCTATAATTTTCGGTAGCCCTGGAAAGAGTGCCGATCCTCGATTCGCGAAATGTAGGGCATATAGTTAAACTTGAAACAGCAGTAGCAGCGTCGACTATAGTCGGCTCTGAATCGGTTGTCATCGCACTTCAATGATTCAGACCTTCTATGGACATTTTCCCGTCGATCGAGAATCCTTTTCGAACGCAAACTTTCACGAAGGGTTGGCGGGGAAAAAAAAAGTAAAAGGGGTAGTTTCGAGAGAGATACGTAGTATAATAGTTCGGAAAAGAGCATACGTCGGCGTCGACGATACTCGTGTGTACACGGAGCGTGGTTCCAGCTGTCGGCCGCAGTGCTATACCCGGCTAGAATTTAGTTATCGCTTTCTCTCCCTCTTTTTTTACCTCGCGATTGCAATAATCGACGCAGCTTTGAATTTTAAATTCACGTTTCGCGGCTTAGCAACCGTGAACTCTGAATCTCAAGCAAATGTTGATAGCAATATATGTACTTGCAAGAAAATGTTTCATGTTCAGAGCATTGTAGCATCTTTATGTTCATAGTTTTTATAATAACAATTAGATGGTGGATTTGTATATAAATGCTGGAATGGTCTGGAAATATGAAATTCCAGAGGGGACCCAGTCTGACCCAATATCTCGTTTCCGCGTCCCGTTGCACAATCGTGAACGCGAGCCACGTACGTGGAACCCGTGAATGACCGGCAATTTGTGGTTGGCGGTGGGCCAATTTCGCGTATCCGTGGGCCCGTGTCCCAGCTCGCGCGCTCAGAATCCCTGGTTCAGGTTCGTTTTTCGCGAACGGGCCCAGGTAATATCTCGTTTAGAAAGATTACAGGTTCGGTGAACAGGCTGCCAATGTATAAAACAAACATCGTTAAGGAGCCCTATACTTAGGGAGGGGGCCCAACGCTCTGCGGGCCCTTGCACCCCCGGGCATTATGCGAGTGCGCTCTTTCTCTCTCTCTCTCTCTCCCCCTCTCCGTTTCCATCGAATCGGTGCGTGTGCGGTTGTGGCCACTGGTACAGGTCAGGAACGAGAAGGAGAGGGCGAGAGTCGAGCGCGTGTATTGAGACGTAGAGACCACCGGACGCAGATTGGGCCAGCCGCAATTTCCGCGCGTGTAATTATCCGTTGATCGTCGTACGGTGCGTCTCGAACCTTAACTCGCTCCTTATTATTTAGCGAAGATGATTGATTTAGAGAGCAGCACCACGCGTGATTACCCCGTGACCGCGTGCTAGCCGTTTCTACACACGTTCCTTCGCGAGTGTTTGAGATTACAACGTGATAAGTCCTAATTAGGTAAAATATTTTAGACCGGTCATCGGAAAAATGAATAGGTTTCGCATTTTATATAGCTCACTGGAATGTAATGATAACGAGTCTTAATTGGTCGAGATAGCGATTAGAATATTATTGAAGACGTTATGAATAATTTATAGAATTTTTATTCTGATTTTACACTCAATACGCCTCGGCGCAGTAAAGCGATCTCACTTGAGTCGGAACAATCTTGCATGAGACGATCGCGATAGGAACGCGAACTCGTTCGCAGCCCAGCTGTCTTCTCCATGTTAATGAAAAGTAACCCGTAATTAGCGGAACGCGTTTCACATTTTATTTCTCTTCAACGCGCGATGAGAATCGACCATTAAAACAGACCTTCTCGCTGTTAAGGAGAGGCGCGTAGCTTAATTACAGTTTCGGTCGCGTGTGACAACTGCGATTACACGTGGAAATTCAGCTTATCAAGAGACAACCTGGGTGAACGGTTAAACGAGTCAATTAGACAGTGTCTGAGCATACTTTCTCGTCACTCAACATTTGACACGTCCAACGTTTTAATTTCGCTTAGTCGCTGATTTTTAATTCGAATCAAGTTGCCCTAGAAGAGCCAATAATTAAAACCAGCCTAGTCCTTTTGCGTTACTTATATTTCATATTTTGTCTCTGATCGTTTGATTTAACGCCGTTGTCATCGGTCGGTGACGACGTTTCCTATGTGTCGAAGTCCGAAATGGATTTCGGAGAGGCGTCGCCTTTCCGCGCGGACAGGTGTAGTTAAGGCAGCGTTATCGTGGCATTATCTCGATGATGGGGTACGGTAATTTCACAGTTGCGCAACGAAATGCGACATCGCGTTTCGTGTCGCGATCGGTGGTATCGCGCGATTAAATATGCATGTTCGTTTTGACGTTTGAACTTATACTTATCGTTAATGCCGGCCGTCACTGTTATCTGGTTCTCTGCCTCGAGGCTTACCCCCGGCCGGGAAACGATCGTGTGAAGATACCTCTGCATGTCTCTTTATTTCCATTTATTAAGCTTGTATCGTACAACTGATTTAATGAGAAATACAGAAAGCTTGATTAATGACACGTTGGTGATACTCGTATCATGAAATTATGTATGTAATGTAATTATTTGGATGTTCGACCACCTAAGTGTTTCTTATCAGGAAAAATTATACGCTCTTGACGCGGTATAGGGAAGTTAATTATGGTGCTTGTTAATCTACGTTTTAATTAGTCTCATCACTCAAGGACCGTAGTTCCCAGTAAACAATCTCTGGCTTCCTTCGATACAAATGAAATCTGCGTCAGTAGAATTTCATTCTTACGTGCGTTTCGTAAAATTCGCCCCACTGACAGCGTCGAAACTACCCCAAAAGCTATTTAGTATTCTTCTCTTGAAGGCTCGAGCACATACGCTCACCCTTTACCTGTTCTGATCGTTTCCCCTCTCTCCCCGTTTCGCCTTCCCGTCTCCCACCATACTCAAGTACACACACGCTCGTGAGGGATGCGTTCTCGGTCTTCGTCTGGGCGCATGTGCGCCGAATAGGTCTCAGTTTCTCTTTCGGCCGCGATGGGGACGCTTTCTCTGCGGGGTCGTCCCTAGGCCGCGTCGGGGGTGGCTGGTAATTAGCCGTAGTGGCCTGAGCGCGCCTGAAAATGCGCTCTGCGATTGTGGTGGAAGTGTCAGAGAGTGGTATCGCGCGGGGGCCGCCGTGTATCGACGTTTCCTTCTCGCCCGACGCCGACGCCGCGCGGGGGTGCCTGCCTTTCAATGCCACCCCACCGAACTGGCCCGTACTTTCGTCCTTTTTTTTTTCTCTCCGTACACCCACCCACTCGATTCCCACGTGGACTTCGACGTGTATCAAGTGTCAGTGTCTTCATCGATATTCGGTGAGAAAATACATTTCTGACGTCAATTTATAAAATGTAATTTGATGATCTTTTATAAACAGTAATTTGATCTGCATTTCATTGTTAAATGCATGTTTTGTATCTTTCATAAACGCTGAAAATTCGTAATCCGGGACAAGATGTTAGTCCTACACAATTTTAGCGTAACTGTATGTATACTTATTTTGGAAATGAAATCATAATACGCATTAGATATCATCTGTGTTATTCTGACTCCAGCCGAAAAACGCTTGCGCACTTTCCTTGGGGGTGAAAAGCAAGCACTTGCGTGGTATTGTCCGCCCGCCGCTCCGCCCAGTTTTCGTCCTTTGAATTTTCACGTTCTATCCGCGCAAGACGTAGGTATCCCGATCGGATCGACTCGCGTGGCGCTTTCACTCGCCTGGCGACACGTTATTACACAGGGTTAGCTGACGTACAGCATCGTTAACAAGTTTCCCGAGTCATTATCTATTAAAGTCTGTCAGGATTATTTAATCGAAATCACGTAATCGTAACTACGTGATAAATCATATACGATATGGATTCTGTTACCGATATTGTCCGTGCAATGTTTTCTTATTTTGTATAGAATTAAATTTCGTACAACTGCAGGTAATGCAATTATAAAGTGCAATTTTATCAACGAACGAAATATAAAACGTTTTCGTTTGTTCATTAATTTTTTACGACGTCTCATTCGATTGTACGTTCCGCGAAATGTGTCGAGACTTCTGAACGGGGTTGTACGCGCGTGTGCACCGTTTACCACGGAAATGAGATGCGTTGGGAAAACGTATACGCGGACAGTAGGCGAGGGTGGGTGTGTGGTGGCGTCGGCGCGGGGGTGTACGTTTCACACACGGTTGTAGATCGTTGGATAAACAAAAGAAAGTTGGGGTTCGGGGCGGCGAGGGGCGAGGACGGGGGTTGCTTTCGACGCGCGCGAGATTGATTGCTCGAGCTTTCGGTTTAGTGGCTCGTAATTAGGTCTGTCGAGTCGCTGAGTATTTCTTTATTCGCGCTCTCCACACCCATTCCCCTCAACAGCGTGTGTAGAATAGAGCTACTGTGGTGAAGCCCGATACGGGCTCGTGTGCAAGCCAACGTGTAACGCACCGTGGTTATCATTTTTTTTCTCCTTCCCATTTTCGATCATTTTTACGTTTCATCAGCCGCACTTTCCTCTCATCGTTCAACAGATTTGATTAGATACAAAATTCATGCGAAAATTCGTTTCAGCAAAATGGTTGTATAACGAATCAAACTGATTTTCTGTGCAAGCTAACGCGCCGAAGCAATGCACCGTGAGTTATCATTTCTGTCCATTGCCGTTACGGATCATTTTTATGTTTGATCGAGCGCAATTTTTTTAATCGCTCGACAAGCTCCGTGGGATACAAAATTCGTTTGAGTAAAATGTTTAAATAATCGTTACACGCTCCTTATTGACTAAT